ACAGCAGATCTTTTGTCAGAAACTATGAAGCCCAGAGGAAGTGGCACATTTCTCACGGGTTGAAAGAAAAGAACTTGTCAACTCCACATCTTCTCCCTGGTGACATTATTCACCCAGAATGGTGGGGCTATAAAGACATTGTCAGACACAGTAGAACCAAGCAAATGCGTTGCCAGCAGACAGACAGACCCCAAAGACTGACTCAAGGCAGTTCTTGAAGTAAAAAGGAAGACACAAAAGAAAGGAACTCAGACGGTTCAGTAAAAACAAGGAGCAATCGAAACGCAAAAATATGGGTAATAGGATTTCCTTCTGGTGCGTTTTCTAGTTAGATTTGATGGTTGGAAAAAAATGCTGTGATAGGTTTATTGTGCCAACTGGCCAATAGAAACATGGGGGATTAATCAGGTCACAGTTTGATTGGAGGGCAAAGAGATAAATGGCTCTGCAAGGCCCACCCCCCTCTTGCTCTCTGGTGATCAGACCAGCTTTAGCTAGTTCTCTGCCTCAACTTGTGAGCTACACTACCTGTTGAACAAGCCAACCCATGGATGATGTAGCTGGAGCTTGAGGTTCCTTTGAGACCTGCTTCCCCACGCCGCTGATGTGTACATCGCTTGAGGCTGGTGGATCCTGTCGTCTTGCATTGCTTGAGTTCAATATCCCATGATTATGTATATAGAATGATAAGTGTCCTGGTTTTGTTTCTCTAGAGGACCCTGCCTAACACTAACGCATAACGTTATGTATTGTTCTCAATGTGGATAGAAGAATTGTTGACATGCTAGATGGGGAAGGTAAGGGACTTTCAGGTTTCTGCCCTTGGCTCCAGCTAGTAGATTGTTAACACCAACAGAGTCTGATATGTTCCGTGTGTGCAGTGGGAGACCCAGAAGCTGGACCCACCCACTCAAAAATACTCTCAGTCAATCAAACTGGAATTCTAAATCATACAATGCACAGGAAATTGGGAGAAAGGGAAGCAAATAGAAATTATAGGGACCAAACAAAGGGGGAAATGTCAATCTTAACACCAAACCACTGCCTTCAAGAAGCCCATGTAGGGATTCTAAGACTGTAAATCCTTATGGGAGCAGACAGCTTCATCTTTCTCCCAGAGGGTGGGATATCAAGAACAGCCTTAAAACAGCTTAGAGCTGTATACACATTGTGCTGATATAATACTGACACAGAGCCTAAGGTGAGCAAGTCCTCCAGGGGTCTGGGAGGTGGGCTCCACGGGATAACAGACAGAGGATAGCTGTGAGGTCGTGTTGACATCGTCTTCTCAAAGGAGGGCACGAAGTCCTGTCTTGAAGGATGGCTGAGCAGTTTCATCCTCATAAAATGGGTGTGAAGTCATGTCTCAGAGGGTGGACATGCCGCCGTCTTCTCGGGACGGATGCCACGTGGTGTTACCAAGGAGGGCGGGGAACCTGTCTTCGCAAAGCCTGCCTGTGAAGTTGTATCAAGGACCGAGGTGAGATTGTCTCCTCACTGGATCGCTGTCAGGTCCTGGAGGATAGATGTGAAGCCATCCTTTCATAGGACACGTGCGTCCATGTCTCCAAGGACAGGTCATGGAAGTGTGTCTCACGAGGAGGCTGTGAGGTTGGAGGGTGTGTGCGGAAGACTCTCACAGGGGAGATGTGAAGTTGGGTCTCAAATAGTAGGTGGACGCCATCTCTTCAGAGGACACTGAACTCAGATCCTGAAGGATGACTGAGAATATCTTCCTGAGGGACAGCTGTGACATCTCACGGGGTGGATGTGAAGTAGTTTTCTCCAGCGTCTGATGTGCAGTCACCTTCTGGAAGGACAAGCGTGAAATTATCTCCCCAAGATGGATGGGAGCTCATGACTCGGCAGGCTTGACATCTCCTCAGACAGGTGTGAAGTGTCAGATGGATGTGAAGTGGTTTTCCACAGTGAGGACACCCTCTTAAGGAATGGAGGGGAGACCCCCTAGGGTGAGAGCAGGGTCATCTTTTTTTATATAAATCGTTTTATTGGGGGCTCTTAACAGCTCTTAGAACAATCCATCCATTGTAGCAAGCATATCTGTACATATGTTGCCATCATTTTC